GAATTAAAAATTCATCCATAGAAAATGTAGAGAAAATAATTGCGGAAAAAAAATAAAAATGTAGAGAAAATAATTTTTTGAGCTATAGAACTCCTAGAAATGTCAAAAACTGAAAGAGGAGATAGATTTTTTCTGTTAAAAACTTTCCAAAATGACCATTTTTGACATTTTTTCTTCGGGAAAAGGACCATACATGAATCTATAACCACTAATTAATTTTTTAAGAATTATTTGAATCATCTTGGAACTCCACAAAATCAGATAAAAAATTCTGAAATTATGGTTTTAGACCTGCAATTGTGGTCGCGCCAAACTTTTTTCCTGTAGATCAAAAATTAATTTGCAGTTCGGAATTGTTCTGTGGGAGAGCGTGCTCTTTGAAAGCTATTTACCACCAAAACATAAGAACTAGTATATGATGCCAAGTAGCCAATTCCATATAATCCAGGGAACGGAAAAATGAAAACTAGGCCATGCAAACTTCCCCAGTGAACCTGAGATAACCAAAGTGACATAGTTTGCGTCAATAGAATTATACGATACAATTTGGACTCTCTTTTTGGCCTATCTGATAAAATTAAATAAAACAAAATGAAATTAATGCAAGTCGAAAATATGTTTATACACTGCATAAGTGGTTGCTGGAGTGATCGATCGGAATTTTCTATTACAGCGAATTTGTGTAAATTTAGAGCATTTGAGGTGCTGTTTTCCATTGTTAACTGGCAAAAAAGAGCGTCAAAAAGCTGATTTGTCAACTCGGCAGCTGAATTTCTAGAAGATTGTGTTATTTAAAAAACGTAAAAGGGTGCTTAACTTGAGACGTAGAGTTTGGTCGTTTAATATAAAGTTGAGAATTCGTGAATTATTGTGAAGAATTTAATGAATACTTAGAATTAACAGACGAAAAGTTCCTTGTTTTTCTGGTTTTTCGCTTTGTCAAAAATCAGAGATCCACTATCATTTATTGTTAGAATCTCATCCATTTTCCTGACTTTGAAAACAGATTCTCAAAATTCTTTAAGAATTTCTAGTTTTTCAGATTTTTGTAGACTGTCTTTCATAAATCGACAAATAGCTGAAAAACAAGGAATTTTTTAAAAGTTCTGTGAATGCAAAGTTTTCAGTCTAGATCTGCTTTATACCATCCAAAATGTTAGAAGTGATTGGAAAATTGACAACCGAGCTCCAGACTCCTGAAAATGTTTAAAATGGTCGAAAATCAATGAAAAGTATTTTTTGCAGATCTTATTGACCGGTACTGTATGTCTAAAAATGGGTAAACATGACAGAATGGTCTGAAGGCCGGAAAAAACTAAATGAAATAAATAAAAAATAAAATTTAATGTTGTTGATAGTTTTTTATCTTGTTTCTACTCTGTTGTTGCTGTTATCTGAAACAAGTATCTTCTGAATAAAGTTGAACATTAGAGAATACTCACTGCTACTCCATCTCATCGGATTTTTCATCAACAAATTCCGGAACTCTCTGTTAAATAATATCAGCACCAGTGGATCGATAGTATGTACCAGGCTCCATGCTACAGTAGTACAAAGAAATATCGAAACAGGGTGAGCCTGACAACGAGAGACTATGAAAAATAGCAGAAGTTCTGCTGCAAAAACCGCTCCCTGGATGAGGCATTGTTTAACAAATTTGATTTCCCTCTGTCGCTTTTTTTGGCTTTCCATCGACGTTGCAGTTGTAGTTTGTCTCTTTAAGAAAAAGTTACATTTCCCGTAAAACCTGTAATAGAAGGGCCAACTAACTTTTAACCTTGAGCCAGTTTTTCTTGGTTCCTGTCAAAAATATCAAAAGGTTGTTGAGTGATAAATTGTTTCTCATAATATCAGAAGTGTTTCAGAAGGTGTAACTTTTTTATACCTTGCATAGAAATTGAGATAGTTGAGCTCAAACTTAACAGCGCGGGGTTCTTCTACATATTACATGTATTACGGTAGGTCAATTATCAGTTTAGGAAAAATTGCTCAACATAATACAGTATTTTCCGATGATGCCAACTCACTGTCTCTGGTGATGTGACCTTTATCATTACAATTGTCACGACATCTACAACTGCGATAACTGCAACCACACCGAAATCCTTACAGAAATCGACATAGAAGCGAATGATGTCACAATTGGCGGAAGTGTTTACACCAAAGTACCAACCAAAATCAACGTATGGAAGAAGACAATCATCTATAAAAGTACAATGAAATCATAAGAACACTTTCTTTGGAATATGTACATTAGCCATTTAAAATAATGACTTACTTGCCAGATGCATGTAGATAGATGTGAAGCAGGGAAACAAGTAGGACAGTGCGATGAGGATGCGTGTGTTCTTTTCACTGAAAACGCATTAAAATGAATGTACATATCTCGATGGGTAGATACCGTAAAACCTGTATTACAACTGTCCCTTTAATAAATGGTATCTTCTATTAGGAGGGCACTCCGAGGTTGGTTTGGAAAAGTAAAAGGGCCCCCTCGAAATGTGAAATTAATCCCTTCCGTACGTTTTCAGTGAAAAATATTCCGGGAATTCACAAAAACGTGCTTCATTTTTGTACAATTGATAGATTTTCATGAATTTCGAACAAGAAAAACTTAGAAAAAATGGCAGGAAAAATAAATGAACCCTCCGGAAGTATCTTGGAAAAATAAAAGGACCGGCCCTTCTAATACAGGTTTTAAGTAAGTCATCTCATGCGAAGTTAATGTTTGAAACTAATTCCCTACCTGAAAATTTTATTATAACCAATTGGGAAGGATATAGCACAGAGTCGATTAACCGCTATGAAAAAATGAGAAAAGATGCAAACATCATAGCAAAAAAGAAGAATCAGTCCAACATGCGAAGATATTTCTTTGAAGTTTGACAAGTCACTGAACACCGAAATTCCGAATTCCGAAGCATTTTCTAATTACTTACAACAAAACCATCGGGCAATAGAAACCCAGAAAAACTGCACATAGAACAGCTTCAGCAAATGATTGGGATGCTGACAGACGGCCAAATGAATTTTGAAGAATTTTCAGATTTGTGGCATACATGAAAACCGCAAAGTTTCCGACTAAACCAGTCAAAGAGATCTAAAAAAAATAATGAACTGAAAAACGAAAAGACTGCATACCAAAAATATTGTCAGGGTTACAATCGCTCGAGAAGGTTGACTAGAAACTGCTGGCTCTACAGTATTCATTGTGTACTCAGTTGTCTTTGAGAGTACTGTTCTGAATTTTTTCTAATTAATAATATTCGATAGTTTTAAAATATAGTTTCAGTTCAAAGAAAATGCTCACAGTCACAGACAATACCAAAAAATGATGTGGGCATATTTTTCTGTGCAACCGGTTATATACATATGTAATTTTCGACATTCAACGTTTCGTGAGTATAATTCGTCATTAAATCAAAAAATATACTTGCAACCCATAATGATAACTACGAAAACAAACTTCTAAAGCGTCTAGATCCCGAGTGTAGCTGCGGGAAGTTCAAGTTCTAAACATTACGAAGAAAGTGGCATGTGGTTTAGATTCTACCCAAATATCACTAAATGAACAGAAGATCATGATCTCTGAAATCAAAGGAAATAAAATTGTTTTAGAAGCAGCCTACAGAAAGGAGTCTACAGTCTGCGTCATAATGATAGGCCCCCCCCCCCTCCCAAATTAGTTTCCTGGAAAAAACCAAAAAAGATATTAGGTTAGCTAATAAATTGTTTTCGATTTTGAATGCTCAACTTTGGAAATTCATAACGGGTCAGCGTGATTGTTTTTCCTGACGAATGTTTTTTTGTTGGATAGAGTATCTCACGGACTTGCTCTATACACTTTGGGTCATTCGTACAAAAGTGCCAAAATAATTGAGTCATTTTCAAGCTCACAGGACACAAAATTCACTGTTTAAGCCGCTTCATAAAGATATGACCCCCCCCTTTTGAAAAAAAAAAAACTCAAGTTCATGGGTTAAAAATTGAAAAAAAAGTTTGTTGGGAACTCTGAAAATAGTCTCAGAACAGCTTATTTCGATAGTTTACTCAAGTATTGATTGCTCTTTTGAAGTTTTAGAAAAAATTATTTCCAGACATTTTTGTTATTTTTAGGGGTTTTGGAACAAATCTAGAAAAACACTTCGTCTGCGTAAATTTATGCGCAGAACTTTGTAGGTAATATTCTAAGAATGTATATGATCATGTTTCAAGAGTGCGCAAGGTGTTATTGTGCTCGATCTTTGGACAGAAAAATAGACCAAAATGAAAACTTTTCAAAGCTGTAATAAAATGTCCGAAAGATGCCTGCAGCTCAGCCAAGAATTACACAACATATTTATTACAAAAGGTTTATCATAAGTCATTCAATTCATAAACAGGTCATTAATAAAGGAGATCTCCACCATATGAAAGCCGGTCAGTAGAGTAAGTGTCCATAGTAACAAAACTATCAAGAATAGTCCATTAGTGATGGCAATTATGAAGCGGACCATAGGACGGTGTCCTTCCTCCTCGAATGCACTGTCCGGAGTCATCCCTTCCGACGATTCCTTTCTACTGGAACTTCGGTTGTCGATTCTATTCTTGCTCTTGCTTTTTTCCCTGTGTGATTTCGGTGATGGGATAGTCGGAGGTGGTGGTGGCGGCTGAAACACTTTGATATTTTTTAGCTTTTCGAAAATTGTAAAACCTGAGAAAATTTAGGCGGTGGTGGAGGCGGCGGAGGAGGGATGTTCGGCTTTGGAGCTCCAGCTTTGGATGGTGGTGGAGGAGGCAAATTCCCATCCACTTTCACTTGGTCCAGACACAAATACTGATCTCCCATGATCAACTGAAAATAAAATGAGAACAGGTACTTTGAGAAGGAAGAATTAATTCATGACACGTCAACATGAAAGTTGAAAAATAGCTCACATAACAAATTGGGCGTGGGAAAAGGTTTTCTTATTTAACTAGACCCGGTCGAGGAAAGAGGAAATAAGTACAGTACCGGGCATAAAGATACCGTAAAACCTGTATTAGAAGCGCCCCTCTGAGTGAAGTGCTCCCCTAGAGACCCTACGAAAAGAAAAACAGAAAAGTCGGCCTATCTTAAAATTATTTTGACCATTTTTAGGAGTCTGGAGCTGGGTTATCAAGTTTCCGATCACTTTGAAAATTTTGGATAGTGCAAAACAGACCTAGATTAAAATTTTGCTTCTGCAGAATTTTTTGAAAATTTATAGTTTTTCAGCTATTCGAAAATTTCTGAAAGACATCTCTTTTTTCGCGTTTCCAGTACAAAAACGGGCCAAATAGGGTGACTTTCAAAAGTCGGCAAAGTAGCTGGAAAACTAATAATTTTCAAAAAATTTTGTGAATGCAATTTTTTCAATCTTGGTCTGTTTTACATCCTCTAAATTTTTCATTGTAATCAGAACGTTGACAGCCGAGCTCCAGACTCCTAAAAATGGTCAAAATGGCCAATAAGTTTTTGAATATGGGTACTGTTTGTAGACAATTTGACTTCAAACCTGAATTAAGTTGTTTTTGACTTTTACACTGCTTATTACGCAACCGTCAATTACGAAGCCTTGTTGCTATGACAAATCTGATTATTACTTTCATCGCACTTCCTATTTCCTTCTCCTCTTCTTAAATTTAGTTTTCACCTGAAAAAAATGGCGAAGATAACGTTTCCGTTTCTTGCTGGACCAGATAATTTTTCGAAGACATTATTAGCTATATTCCAGCTGGTTTATGGAGTTCCTTCTATTCTATTGATGTTCTTTTTGTTTGTTTTCCTAGGATGCTCCAAGAAATATTCAAGTTCATTTTATCGATTAGTTCAAGTAGACCTTTTAACGGTAAGTTCTCGATCAAAATATAAAAATAATTGAATTCTATTCAGAACATTGTGTGCTGGCTTAACACTTGGATATCATTAAGGTCATCTGAATATCCGTTTGGCACGGCATATGTGACAATTCTATTAGCTTATATGCCTTGGCTATGGAATGTGTCGGCGCTCTTACTTAACTTTTTCTTTCACATGCAATTTTGTTCGGCTGCTTCGTTGAGTATTCATCGTATATCCTCAATATTATTTTTCAACCATTATGAAAAGGTATAGTTGTCTACAATCCTAACTACCAACTTCTCATAATTTCAGTTTTGGTCCCGTTACTACATTCCTGTTCATATTATGTTTTTTGTGTACAGCTGGGTACCTCAACTAATCTCTGCTGGATCTGCTCCCCAAATGAACCTAGTGAACGGTACCTTGTTGTACACAATAGATTTGGATAGAACCGCAAACTTTCAACTCAGTGTCCAAATTTTTTCGGGGGTCTACTTTGTATTGCTAGTTGGAGTAAGCTTCTCTATTCCGAAAATTGCCGAAATCAAGTTTCAAAGTAAGACTGTTATGAACCAAAAAAAAGTATAACCGACAGTTTTAAGGTCCAATTACGGACAACAGTGTTTCCAAGAAACTGACAAGAATCGCTCTTGTTTATGGCTTTGTTTATTCTGGAATTCTTTTTTGGAATATTATCAATGCTTTACAAGCAAAATTTGAGATTTTCCCAAAAGCATTTGGTCCAATATCTTACTCTTTGCTAAGTGTCGCAGATTTAGTAAGGTACGCATTCGATATATGAGCTCATTGGAATTTTCAGATGACATTGGCACTTCCTTATATTCTACTTATATTTGATTCGAATGTCAAACGAGATCTACAAAATCCTCAACAAGTCTCTAGTACCAGTCCTATAATGATTAGTACGTAGATCATCAGCCACCATTCAGTCTCGAAAAAATAATTCAATGAAGTTTCCACATGTTAACTTAAGCTTCAAACACTTTAAAACAAACAGATGGGTCCCTGTAATAAAGAAGCCCTTTGGAGGTACCTCGGAACAATAAAAGACGCGGGCCCTTCTAATACAAGTTTTAAGGTATGTCAATTCCCAACGTAATGGGACAACTGGCAAGTGTATTTTCCATGGTCAGTTGCATTCACAAAAATGATATTAGAGTGGGGAGAAATTATTTTCCGAAATTATTGAATTTTTTTGTTTTCGAATTGTCTTCAATTTCTTTAACGATCAATCAACAATATATTCACAATAATTGACTACAACCGTGAGCAACCTATTGTATTTATTTTTTTTCCCGGCACAACTGCTTCAGTGAATTCTATTTTTTTTATTAAAAACCGAACATCATCTTTATCTCGTTCTTTAGTCTGTATTTTAACAACGAAGTAGGACCGGAACTATAGTTGTGTGTTGGTTAATCAGAATAACGAGACTGATAACTTCGAGAAACAATGGGTGCTCAATTTCCGTCAGCGGATTGCTTTCGACAAAACCCCTTCCGCGTCATACAGACAGTTAGTTGCTTCCCCCTCTTTCTAGCTCAAACCTTTTTTTTTTCAATACAGAAATGAACAATATCATCAAGTATGGTTCTATCGAAGGTATTCCACTTTATAACTGCAGGTCAGTTTGTTTGTCAGAAGATAAATTTGCAAGTTCAATACCTTCAGTGGTCTCACTCCCGAGGAATGGTCGAAAGAAAAAGGGTACCCCCGTCCTATAGCTGGAACAATCGACATGACTTATGGGATAACCATGAACGTAAGACTTAAAACTATTTTTGAAGATTTAAAATTGGTTTAGATTCTGTACCTACCAATTTTGTCGGTTATGTTTGAGCCGGAAAACTTCAAAATGTCTTGCTTCAAAATTATGACCTTCCTTGGAATAGTTGACATGCTCGCTCTATGGGTCAACTCTATTATAACTGGGTTTTTGGCCTATCAGGGTGCAGTGTACTGTACATACCCAAACCTAATTTATATCACCGGCATGGCTGGATTGGGTCTCTGGTGCTGTTCATGCATCATTGCAATGAGTTTGGTAATCAATCGATTATTGGACCTTACCAAGGAATCGCCTGTAAATTTCTATTCGATGGGTCGAGAACCTATGCGATTTTGACGCTGCCCATTATCTATGGAAGCTATTTTGTATTTTTTACAACTCCTATCGCATTCAGCTCATACCATCTAACCTGGTTTTTCGATCCATTGATTTTTGAGAACAAAACTCAAGAGGTTGGAAAGCTACCATGAATTTTAGTTCTATTTTTCATACTTTTCAGCAGACCGATTTCGGGCCGGTACGGGTCGGCTTATAACTCGCTTCAAAATTGAGATTGTGTTCAAAACAACATACTAAATGATAGACTTTTCGAGATCTACAACCTCCAATAAGAATCGACTAGCATTTAAATTAGTAACCTGGTGCGGGCCGTTTTCGAAGTTGGTTGATTCTAAATGTAGGTTGTAGACCTCGCCAAGCTCTATCATCTGATATGTTGTTTTGCATACAATTTCAATTTTGAAGCGAGTTATCAGCCGGACCGTGTCGGCCCGTAAACGGCTTGTTTACAACGATGACTTTTTCAGTATACCAACATCCCACACGGTTTTAACAACCTCCTAGTGGTCGCTGTCACTTGTCTTTTGTATGCCTCGTTTTGTTGCGTGCTTGGTGAAAAAGTCCGAGAGATTGAAGGCCCCACTAAAAACAGTTCTTTAGTAATTTAGAAATTTAGTTCAACTGATAAAAATGAGTTTCAGAGTACTCAAATATTCTTCCAATCTGCATTGATCTGCGCCGTTAACCAAGTCGCTTCTGTCATCTATGTCATCATGAACTTTATCGAAGTTCCGCTGTGGTTGATCATGCTCGGGCATATGCTATGGCAAACTGGACATGGAGCTCCTGTATTTATTTACCTTGGGCTTAACAAAAAAATAAGGACAGGAGTTTTGAAACGGCTCGGCATTAAAACAGAATCTATGAGCGGTTCGGTGGTTCCAGCACAAGCAGCTGTCTAATGAATTACTCTGTGATTACTGTGTTTGATTAGTGATTACCGGATACTAGTCTAGCATGAGCTAGTTTCAATCTCTGAACTTGCTGACTAACCTTCCTCGTCACTCATTTCCATCATCCAGTTTCGTGTGTTAATCATAACTCTTTTAATCGTCTTCCTTGTTTTCAAAATTCACTTTCTTTGTCTTTTCAAATTTCGTGAGTAATCTCAAGTATTCTTACGTAATGAAATCTATTCAACCCACTATCAATTCTCAGAAAGACCCTTTGATAATAAAAAACAAAAACAGAATGAGTTAAAAATAATACAAGATGAGAGTACTCATTGTGAACCTGAATCCTCTATTCAATTGAAATCGAAAAATATGAGTTTTGCGTGGTAGTAAAATGTGACGGATTACGATGATCAGAATATAAAATAGAAGAAATTGGAACAGAAGACGTACCATATCAAATTTGGCTCTCTTGGTTCTGGCTGATAATGAACAACATCTTCACGTATGGTTCCATCTCGGATATTCCGCTCTATAACTGCAGGTAAAGTTGTAGATATAAAAGTTGAAAAAAGTGCAATAGAGTTTCCAAAAAAAGCATTCTTGGGTTGAAGCGAATTTCGTCTAAATGACCATACCTGTAAATTTGGGTTCTGGAGGTCCCTCGCGGACCCTGTTATGTTTTCTTTCAGAATTAGTATTTTTAGACAAACTAAATTTGATATGATAGATCTTGACAAGAACTACGGAATTATACTATTTGGGAAACTGTATCTTGTTTGTGAACAAAGTTATAAGCCATAAAATGGCTGATCCGGGGTATTGGCCGGTACTGCTCGTTTTGTTTGTAACTTTGTTCATAGACAAGACACAATTTTACAAATTGTATCATTTTACAGTACTACTCGAGTTCTAACATTTCTGATTCTAAAACATTTACAGCGCGCATACTTTCGAAGAATGGTCCGAGCGTGATGGCGTACGTCGTCCTCTTTATGGAATCCTCGATATGGTTTATGGGATCGTATTCAATGTGAGCTCAAAGACTCACTTCATGAAATCAATAAACCTTTTAGATCCTCTACGTCCCAATCCTTTCTGTCCTTTTTGAAAAAGACAACATCAGAATGTCCTGTTACAAGATCATGATCTTCCTGGCAACTGTTGACATGATGGCACTCTGGGTCAACTCGATCATCACCGGATTCTTGGCATTCCAGGGTGCAGTTTACTGCACATACCCAAACCTAATTTATATTGCCGGAATGGCAGGTTTGGGTCTCTGGTGTTGCTCTTGTGTCATTGCAATGAGTCTTGTGTTGAATCGGCTTCTGGACTTGACCAAACCAGATCTGGGAAGCTTGCTTTTTGAAGGAAATCGTACTTATTTCATGTTGAGCTTTTCATTAATTTATGGAATGTATTTTGTCGTCTTCACACCACCCATCGCATTCTCATCCAAGTATCACACTTGGTTTTTTGATCCTCTCATTTTTGTGAATCGAACTGAAGAGGTAAATTTGAAATTGTAAAGAGTGTTGTATGTTTTCAGTGATTTCAGTACGCCAATATTCCTCATGGCTTCAACAACATTCTCGTCGTCAGTGTCACTTGTCTCCTGTATGTCTCCTTCTGCTTCGTTCTTGGGCAGAAGTTCAAACAAGCCTCCGACGGAACCTCTTCCAAATCTAACAAAATGAGTACTCAAATCTTCCTTCAATCGGCTTTAATCTGTGCAATCAATCAAATCGCCTCCATAATCTACGTCATCATGAACTTTATCGATGTTCCGTTCTGGCTGATCATCGTTGGGCATAGCATGTGGCAGTTCGGACATGGTGCACCTGCTCTCATTTATCTGTGCTTGAATCGCACAATTCGTAATGGACTATTGAGAAAACTTGGATTGAAGGTAAGTTACTTTTGGAAAATAAAAACTTTTCAAATCCAAAACTTTTTTGAGAAGCAAAAAGTCGGCTCAGCCATCAATCGTGATTCCAACAGTGCCGCATTCACAAAGACTAATTGATTGTGTTGTCTTTTTTTCTGATCGAATAAACCCTGTTGAATATGTTCTGATTTTTTATGCTGAACAAATTTCGCTCGTTTCTCTGCATCATAAAAGTTTTGGCTCAAAAAATTGTTAAAGGATGTCGCGATATTCAATCTGTCTATTATAATAGAACCAGCTAGCTGGTACGCCTTCGGCGCGATTAAATTTAGTTTTCACTGGTTAATCGCTCCGCTTCTCACTTTTTTTGGTCATTTTCAGGAGGTTGCAGTTCGACTTTCAAGTTTCTGATCACTTAAAAAACGTTGGAGAGTTCAAAACAGTCCTAGATTGAAAACTTTGCATTCACTGAATTCTTGAAAATTCCGGTTTTTGTTTTTAAACTATTTTTCGATTTTTGAACGACGCCTTTTTTGACTTTTAAGAACAATGCGGGCAAAGAACTAGTGTCTTTCAAAAATCGGCAAATAGCTGAAAAATTCGAAATTTTCAACGGTTCTGTGAATAAAAAGTTTTCAATCTAGGTCTGTTTTACACCCTCCAAAATTTTCAAAATTATCGGAAACTTGCCATCCGAGCTTCAGACTTTTAAAAATGGTCAAAATGACCGCATTTCTCTTTTTTTTCTTGATTTCGTCTATTCAAAAATGAATCTTTTCAAATAAACTGAAATTCTTTTAGACATCTTTTTCTTGTCAATCTCGTTCGTATATCAAAAAACAGATTTTTTATTTTCCCTTCTATTATAAAATTTTGAATTCGCTGGGAGCCAACGTGACTATTCAAGAAATCAAAGAGTTACAAATCAAGAATTTTCTCTACTCTTTGATCGAGATTAAGCGCCATGAATGCGTTTGTCTTACAATAACTTTTACTATTATTTTTTGATAAGATGAATTGAATAGTTGAATAGTGCTACGTAGTAATCCTTAAAGGATTAAAGCGGGTGGTAAACTATAAAAACAAAACTTTTTTGGATTTAGTAATCACTCGATCATCAAACTTTTCCAAGTCATGAACAATATTCTGAAATATGGCTCTATTTCTGAAATTCCATTGTACAATTGCAGGTACGATGTTTATTCTTGCCCGTTGGTATCTAACTTGTAAACCGGTCCTTGGTGGGCCTTCGCGGGTCCTGCCATAGTTACTTTTAGAATCAAAAAGCTTAGACCAAAGAAATTAGGCAAGATAGAACTCAACAAAAATAATACTATTCGGGAAACTGTATCTTGTCTATGAACAACGTTATGAGACATACAGTGGCTGATCACTGTTCTTTCCGTCTCTTGGCCTATAACCTTGTACATAGGCAAGATAAAATTTTCCAAATTGTATTATTTTGTAGTACTTGTCGATTTTAATCATACCTAAAAAATTAGTCTAAAAATATTGATTCTAAAAGAAACTATGGCAGGTATGACTGTTATGGAACTTGTTTAGTGCCATACCCCCGAAGAATGGTCTCAAAAGGATGGGGTTCCTCGCCCCACAGTCGGATGTTTGGATATGGCTTACGGTATTTTTGTGAACGTTGGTATTCTTGGTTTTTAACACCAAATTATTGAATTCTTTTAGATCATGTATATTCCAATTCTAACTGTAATGTTTGAAAAGGACCATTTCAAAATGTCCTGTTTCAAAATAATGATATTTCTTGGAATCGTTGATATGCTTGCATTATGGGTCAATTCCATTATAACAGGATATCTCGCTTTTCATGGCGCGGTATACTGTAGCTATCCTCGCTTGATCTATTGTGCTGGAATGGCTGGATTAGGACTGTGGTGTTGCTCGTGTATCATTGCAATGAGTTTGGTGATCAATCGGCTATTGGATCTAACAAAACCAACAATCTGCGCAATGTTTTTCTCGGGAAACAAAACATTTCTTGTGATGACTCTACCAATTATTTATGGTCTCTACTTTGTGTTCTTCACCACTCCAGTAATGTTTTCTTCGAAATTCATGACCTGGTTCTTTGACCCGCTCATTTTTCCGGATCGTGGATTTGAAGTGAGTGTCTGAAAAGGAACTTCAGCACAATGATTTCTTGCAGTACGCTAACATTCCTCATGGCTTCAATAATCTTCTGGTGGTTGGTGTCACATGTCTTTTATATACTTCTCTGTGTTGTGTTTTGGGAGAAAAATTCAACATGATCGAGGACACAGCTAATTCAAAAGTCAAAAACTTGGTAAGTCAAATTGCTTACCTTAAAACCTGTAATAGAAGGGCCATCAGACTGTGAAGTTTGAGCTTATTTTTCTTGGATCCTGTGCGAGGTTTCAAAAATGTGTAAAATGGTAAAATATGTGTGATCTTATGACAAACATCAGTCGACCACTTTTTCATATCTTTGACAGAAACTGAGATAAATCGACTCGAAGTTAGAGGGCCCTTTTGGTACAGATTCTACGGTATCCATTTTCAAGTTAAGAATTCCAAAATTCAGAGTCTTCAAATATTCTTCCAATCTGCCTTAATTTGTGCAATCAATCAAATTGCATCCATCATCTACGTCATCATGAACTTCATTGAAGTTCCCCTTTGGCTCATTATGCTTGGTCATGTTCTTTGGCAATTTGGTCATGGAGCTCCTGTTTTGATATATCTGGCTCTGAACAGAACTTTGAGAAATGGACTGATAAGGCGTTTAGGGTTCCGACAAATCCGAATCGGGAGCTACAATGCCGAGCGTGGAAGTGTGAATCCGACGAAAACAGGACATTCTTAATAATCTTTTTTAATTGTATTGAGTATTTATCTGAATTTCAATAAACACAGATTATATTACCGTAGTCTTTTTGTTTTCTCTTGAAATAGAATTTCTAGAAGATTCGATTCAATTCTTGGAAAAAATTGAAAATGTTATTGAAAAATAGGAGGATTATGTAAATAATCTTCGATCACTTTTTGATGTTACAAATTAAAGGGATTTCGAAAGTAGTTTGAGTACTGGAAAGCCACAAAAAACTTGTCAAGTTTGATCTCTAGTCATCAGAGAAACACGTTTTCCGTTTCAATATGATAAGCAAGTGGGTTGAAATTTTCTTGCCACTGATAACTGATTGCTCCAAAAAAACGGGAAACTTCGATTTCTTTTCATTCGACAGGGGACGGCAACAATGAACCGGTTTCATTATTTTCTAGTTTCTTTTCTAGTCGCAACGACATCCGCTAGCCATATTTGTTTGGAGACTTCTTGCTCGTCTTTTGTAAGTTTTAGCCTAGTCAAAAATAAATATCAATGTTTTGGATGACCCATGATTTGAAGAAATTGGTTCACTCGCTTTCATAAAAAACATAACCAAAACATACTTGCAACGGGCCGGGACGGGCCGAAGCGACAATTTTCCCGGCCCAGCCCGGCCCGCCGACCCGCCCTTTCTCAGTAAAATAAGTTTACAATGATAAATTGGGACATTTTTTGAATTAAAAAAGAAAAAAAAGTTACATAATTTTTAAAAGTTGTCAAAGTAGAAAGTTGTAAAAAATATAGAGTTTTTGATTAAATTTCTGAAAAAATTATACAATTTTCGAAAAAAAAATCAAAAAAATCAGCTGCTGTACAAACAGCGGGCCGGCCCGAAATTTTGCAAGTATGACCAAAAATAATTGTCTATAAGCTTGATCCATCACAAGTACAGTACCGGTCATATACAGTTAATTTTTTGCCATTTTGACCATTTTCAGGAGCCTGGAGCTCGGCTGTCAAATTTTCACTTTGAAAATTTTGAAAGGTGTAACACATACCTAGATTAAAAACTTTGCATTCACACAGTTTTTTGAAGATTCTTAGTTTTTCAGTTATTTGCCGATTTCTGAAGGACACTTGTTTTAGCCCATTTTTAAACTGAGAATGTGGGAAAGGTGTCTTTCAGGATTCGGAAAATAACTTGAAAAATAGGAATTTTCCGAAAACTCATCGCTAGTTATAAAATTGGGAGCTTTGACAAATGAAAAGAATAGCATCGGCGCTTTTCTGAAACATATGAAATGACAAACAAATTTTGGGGATTGATATCATTAAAGATCTGTGACCCCAATGTTCGGGGCACTCTGACCAACAGATATGCCTGGATTCCGAATTCCAGATTCTGAGAAAATTGTCAATTCCCAAAACAGTGCACCATATGTGTTTTGAAAAAGTTGTTTTCTACATGCTTGACATTCCCGGATTTCTGATTCCATTTTCCGGATTCCGTTTCGCAAAAAAAACCGTTCCGGACTTTTCTGCTGACCAATTCATGAAATGAATTCCTTAAAAATTCAAATCAAATATAACAATATTTGTATTTTTCTTCCTTTTCAGAACGTCGAATCCGACATCGTTTTGGTGGTGGACGCTTCTAATGCATACGATCAAGCAACATTTGAACAAGTAAGCTAAAAACTCTTATCTTCTTGTTCTCTGTCACGTGGTGCTATTTTTTTCTAGTCTACTCTACCCGCTTTCATATCATCACATTAAAAATGTGTGTAGTTTAGACCAATGGGCAGGGTGCAGTATTCCAATTCTCATAACTGATTTCAGCTCCGTTCTTTCCTCTACACATTCGTTGCCTCGTTGACAGTATCCCCATTAGATACTCAAGTTGCCCTCTACGCCTATGGAAGTTCCGCTCAGACCGTCGCCTCTTTGAACGATGGATCCTCGTTGGGATCGATTCAAGCAAAGATCAACACGACGTTGAAGTACCAGGGATCTTCAGAAAGGAACTTGTTCCAAGCCCTGAGCAAAGTTCAAGCCGAGGTCAGCTCCATGTCAGGACTCAGAAGTGCCGATTATAAGAAGGTTTTGGTTGTGATTTCCGGAGACGCGTAAGTTTTCTTCAAATTCTAAACTGCGGAATTTGAAGCAAAGGTTTCATTCAAGAAAGATTCGATAATTTCAGATGGTCCGGAAACGCCGTTATCGGAAGCTCGGTGCTAACCCAACTCAAGCAAAAGTTCAATGTCATTCTGTCAGTTGGATTCGGATTGAAAGCCGTGACTAACTTGAACTCTCAACTCACACAATTGACCACTGCGTCCATGAACACTTTCTTTGCAGCCACACCGGATCAACTACCATATGTTTCCGCATGGATCGCTACCTTGTCATGCCCGTAACTATTCTTTTTTTTTGAGCAGCCTGATTCTTCAACTATTTCAGAGGAGTTCAATTCTCAACACCAGCCCCACCACCAACCACTGTTCCCACGCAATCACCATCTGTTTCTTGCCCATTGGCTTCTCTCTCCTATGATGTTTACCTCATCGTTGACGTCTCCAATAAGGCATCAGCTGCTGATTTCGCCGCCATGAAGACTGCCATTCACAATTTTGTGGCTCCGTTTGCGTTCGGAGACTTGGCTGCTAACTTTGCTCTTGTTACAACTGGAATTGATTCTCAACTCTTCTTCACCAATTTCCATAATGGACAATCTAGGTAAAAGTTTCAAAACAAATGGGCTGCGCTTAAAAGTGGGGGGCAGAAGATTTTTTTGAAGTTTTCTTTAGTTAGGGTGTGCATTCTCAGAAGAAATCGGTGTCGAATTCCTAGACTCGATCAAAACCTAATTTTAAAAATCGACTTTCGCCGATTTAGAATTGATTCGAATGTCCGACACGGCAGGTGACATGAAAACTGTCTTCCTTTTGAAACTGCCAATCGCATGGCGAGTTTTCTAGTCCATTTTAACATGGTGACCTAACTTTTGCAAGCTGGGTTTTCTAGGCCACCATGGTAAATGGTCTAGAAATGATCTAATACTCACCTGGTGGGTTTTTCAGGTCATTATAACACGGCGGCCTAACTCTTGCGAATTGAGTTTTCTAGGCCATTACGGTAAAAACCCTAGAAACCATCTGATAATCACCTGGTGTATTTTCTAGAACGTTTTAGCATGATGAGCTGGAAAACAGGTTGGGAAAGTTAAGCCATCATGTTTAAATGACCAAGAAATCGCGTGATAATCCCCTGGTGTGTTTTCTAGAATATTTATCATGGTGGCCTAACTTTTGCAAGTTGAGTTTTCTAGGCCACCAGGTAAATGACCTAGAAATTATCTGATACTCACCTGGCGTGTTTTCTTGGATATTTTAGCATGGTGACCTAGAAAACTCAGATTGAGAAAGTTAGGCCATCAGTATAATGACCTAGAAATGGTCAAGTGCTCACCTGATGGGCCCCAGGCCATTTTAACATGGTGGCTTAATATTTGCTAAATTAAAGGCATGTTCTTTTGCAGAAGCGATGTTCTCACAGCTGTCGACGGCCTTCTTCAAGATGATGTTCCAGGACAAACCCTCAATTTGGCCCTCAACGCAATTCAGGGATATCTCTCCCAACCATCATCTGCATCCAAGAAAGTTCTAGCCTATTTCACCAGCACCACTGCCTGGGATGTTAGTCCAACTGCAACCATGTCAACTCTGAAATCCAAATACTCGCTGAGCCCAGTGGCTGTTCAATGGGGCGCATCTGCTTCCACGTCGGACTTGACCAACTTGGTTGGCGGAGCCGCCTGTGTCAACACCGTATCCAATAAGGCGTCGGCTGCCACGTGGCTTCAGAACAAAATGTGCTCCAAAGTTTTCTGCTGAGCTGATTATTCTAACTCGTGAAAATAAAAATTTAAGTTTTATCGATTTTTCAAGAAAAAAAGAAACTCAACACAATACACATATCTGAGCGCCCCTCTAAAAGGCACGAGCTGAAAAAAATCATGTTCAAAAAAACTCGAGCTACTACAATCTACAAACCGAATTTCAGTGAACTTTTTGGTACTGTCAAGAAAAAAGATGCGAATAAACTTTGGTGTATTTCGACTCTGACCAAAAAAAGATTCTCTGAAAATCGGGCGCGACAAAAAATGATCGACAAGGAAGAAATAGAAATAGAGAGAAACATAGAAACGAAGTGATGTGAATTTAAAGTCTCGCATAAGTTGGCTCCTCTGCGTATGGATTCGTCTTGTTCTCAATGGCGGCCTTCTTCGCTTGAGCCATACTACGAGAGTTACGCGAAATCACGTTCGTCTGGTAGTAGTCGGAGAGCTCTCGGAGCGCCGGTGAGACATCAACATCGATGGATCCGCTTGTTTGAGCCAGCTGAAGAGCTTGCTTCACGAATGGAGATGGCTCAAGGTCCCGATAACGAAGGAGATGTGGAGCGATCTGAAGCAGTAGTAAATTGAATAAAATGTTTTGAACCTTGATGTTCGAATATTATTCTGGTAAAAAAAAATCGGAGCTGGGGAAGAGAAAAGTTTGAAGACAAAATTCAAAAAAATTGGCAAAATCTCGAATAATCGATTCTCGTCCATTACTGGAAACTTTTGTAATGTTGTCAAATATTTTTTTGAATTCCCGCCAAAACTGAAAACTTCCAAAAATTAGCGAATTTTTCAGAAGAATTTTTTTCTTCGATTTTTCGCAAAACTTTCAGACCTTTTTAGATTTTCTAGCTACTTTCAAAGAGAGTACTGTAGAAAACTACATGACGAAATAGGTTTTTTACAGTTATCTACAGTTAATCTCCGCGAACAACCATTATGTCAAATTTCAGACAAAAAAATTCGGAAAAATCAAAAAAGTATTATCAAAAATATCTGGAAAATTGAAAACGATCTAAAAATCTGCAAACAATCGATGAAAAAATCAATTTTTTCTCTCTAACTACGGTAACTCGACCATGGCTGCAGCCTCCCAATTTTCTCTTCCACAACTCTGATTTTTGCATACCAGTATAGCATCTAAACACAGGTCTTTCACCAAAACATTACCTCATTGAGTCTCTGCCGAATTTCCTTCAAATCACTGTAAGGTAAAGCTTTTCCAGCAACTTCAGAAACAGCGCGAATGATTTTCCAGTCGACACGAGCTTCTCCTGGTGGCGATACTGCTGGATAAGCTCTGTAAATCATCAAATACAGTAAAATTCTAAACATCAAAAAAATACCTTTGCGATCTTCCTTCTGTGTTCACATATGTACCTTCCTTCTCGGTGTAAGCAGCTCCTGGGAGAATCACGTCGGCCATCTCTGCTCCAGCATCTCCGTGGTGTCCTTGATATACGACGAATGCTGATGGGTCAAGGTTGGCTTTGGTAACCTTTCCTTCGTCAGCTCCGAGAAGATACAAGAACTTGATCGGGGTCTTTCTGATCGATGAGGTTCCAGCTTTGTATCCAATGTCTTGTGCTCCAGTTTGTCCTGCCCATCTTTGTAGCACATTCAACACTTTAACTTGCTTTCCGTTTCCGAGTTTCTCAGCAAGTTGTTGAAGTTTTCCAAGCAATACTGCTCCTGATTCTCCTTTCAATGCTTGTGATCCAACGATGATGAGAGGGGTGGCAGCTGAACTTAGAGTCTTTGCGAAGTCTCCTTTTCCTGCCAGAATATCATCAATAGCCTTGGCTGAGGCACCGAGGTAGTCGTACTCGTAGGTGAGCTCAGTTTCAGCTCCGATGACGCCGATTTGAACATCAGAATACAAGAAAGATTTTCTAATTCTTGCGTTCAATGTTGGTGCTTCGAAACGTGGATTTGTTCCAACAAGAAGAATCGCATCAGCACTCTCAACGGAAGCGATACCATCGTTGAAAACGTAGTTGGAACGAAGATCAGATCCTCCGCTAGTTTCTGGGAACTCCTCTTCAGTCATCACATTTTCACTGTTGAATCTGTTGAAAAGATCCTTCAATGCGATAAGAGATTCGACGTCGTTGAGTCCTCCAGCGACGGCGGCCTTCTGCTCAGCTGGTGTCTCACGAAGCTTTGCCGCAACGGTGAAGAGTGCCTCCTCCCATGAAGCTGGCTTGAGTTGACCATCGGCTCCACGGATCATTGGGGCCAACAAACGTTGAACTTTAAGCCCGTCGACAGCGAAACGGGATTGATCGCCAATCCATTCCTCATTGATGTCCTGAGAAGGAAGATTTTATCGATAACATATAAAAAATCTTATCGATTATATATTAAAAACCTCTAATAAAAAAAGCCCTTCACTTTAAACTTCGAGTCACAATTCCACAATGTTAAGTTTGAGCTAATTTATCTCGGTTTCTGTGAAAGATATCAGAAACGTGCCAACTGACAAAACACTTCTGATATTATGATAAACAATTTATCAGTTGACAAACTGTTTATAGATTTGACTGGGAAAATCAGCTCAAAGTTAGGGAGCACTTATATGTATTACAGGTTTTACGGTATCAGCAAGAAAAAAAATACTCACATCGTTGATTTTTGGAATGACTCTCAGCAACTCTCCAGTTCTATGCGAGAGAACAATATTGGATCCAGTTCCATCCATCACATCAACGCTCTCCGTTTTTCTGGTTTCCCATGGGCGGGCGGTGAATGCGTACTGCTTGCTAGTAAGAGCTCCAACCGGGCAGATATCAATGATGTTTCCAGAGAGTTCCGATGCGAAGAACTTCTCAACATAAGTTCCAATTTGAAGATCTTGTCCTCTTCCGGTAGTTCCAAAATCTGGGAAAGCGGCGACCTCATTGGCAAATCTAACACAACGCGTGCATTGAATGCATCTAGTCATGACAGTCTTCACCAGTGGACCAATATTCTTGTCCTCCAACGCTCTCTTTCCATCGTATCTCGATTGAAGACGTCCACGATCGGAACCGAATGCGACAGCCTGGTCTTGGAGATCACATTCTCCTCCTTGATCGCAAATTGGGCAATCAAGGGGATGGTTGTTGAGCATAAACTCCATGACTCCTTCACGAGCCTTGCGCACGAAATCCGAGTTTGTTTTCACTTTCATTCCATTCATCACTGGCATCGCGCATGATGCTACCGGTTTCACACTTTTCTCCACCTCGACAAGACACATTCTACAATTTCCGGCGATTGAGAGACGGTCGTGATAGCAGAAGCGTGGAATATCAACACCAACAAGAGCGCAAGCTTGGAGGATCGTCATTCCTGGGTCAACGAGCAGAGATTTGCCATCGATGAATACTTCGACCTGAAATCAGGCTGATTTATTTTTGATTTTGTGTAGAATTAGCAGCACACAACCGTGCATAAGGGACTTTTGTAAATTAGGGAATTTTTGAGGTCGCAAGAATTAGTTAAATTTGTTATTTCTCATAAGTCAGCTAGCAACTTGGAATTTCCACGGTAAAACAAGAACGAGAAACACAGTGGTGATAAAAGCTGGAAAATGCTTATTTTCGAATGTCGCAAAGCTACTAATTTGATTCTTTTTTTTTGAGAAAATCTCAAATTGTTAGAAGGAAAAGTTTGGAACGCTGCTCATCTAGCAAAGCTGAACTATCAGTAGCAGAAACGAACAAAAAGAAGGGTTAGACATATATCACATATCAATCCACCTTGTTCACCTTTTTTGGTGGCAGCGCCGCGGACAGCGACCGCTTCTGCTGAGCCTTCACTCCGCGGACGAGTTGTCCGCCAACTCGATGCATGGTGACCCCTGTAGACAACTGAAATGCTTCTTTATGAAATTTAATTTCTATCATATTGAAAAAATAACTGAATCGGCGAACTCTACCGGATTCTGCGACAGAAAAATTATACCGAAGAATCAAGGTTAAATAAAATTACATTTTTAAAAAGCGATCCAAACCAAAACCAAGCAATAAATAAACACCGAAAACAGCCAAAGAAGGATAAAAAAAACTACACCATGAATTCGAAAATTACAACCAAGTGTTCGATGAAAAAGAGAAGAAAACAGAAAAATTAAACCCCGTTTGTTAGAATCATTAGCAGGCATTTCTTTTAGGAATTTAGAGAATTTCAGTAAAAAAATCAAGTATTACACAAGAACGGATATGCACACAAAAAGAATATTGTCGAGTTCTTTTTAAATCGAAATTTTAAGTTATAGATGAGGTAGGCGGGAATCATCAACAGCTACACGGATGTTCGGATTCGCCATTGGATCAAACATTGGGTCTGAAGAATGCTCGCCGTTGTATCCAGCACGCTTCAGAACAGTGATAATCTGGAAAAAAGATCTGCGAATTAGGGAAAGAAATCAACAAAAATCACCGTTATAAGGGCCAATAGCGCCAGGAACATTACGAAAATAGCCATTTTTCGTCCGGAAGTACGATCTTCTGGCACTCCGGTTCCATGCTTTGCTCTCCACAAACCACGCATCCAATCAATCGTCGGACGTCTTTTATATTTATTCTCCTCATTATCCGCATCACGATCTTGTCGAAGAAGTGGTCTAGTATCGCTGGATGACTCGGATGCAAAGTTCTTCTTTCTAGCAAATGTGACATCAGAGTTGGATACAGAATATGAAGCGGTGTCTTCCATTTCTAGGTGAGTAGCGGGAGTTTCTGATCTGAAATTCTCAAACTTTTTTTTTCAAAGTCACAGACAAATTTACCTATTGTGATGAATCGGAATCTCTTTTTGAGCAGGAGAATCGTCATAAGACACATGTTTTACTTGTGGAGGTGGTGGAGGAGGTATTGGAGCGATATTTTTTACAGGTCTGTTCAGTTCTGGAAGAACTGGAAGCCCGAGAGCATTTCGTGCCCAATTCGATTGTTTCAGTTGCTCTCGAAGCTTTTCGATGAGAGGAGAGACTTCGTTTATTGGTGGGAAGACCTCTTGACTACAGCATGGACATCTGTAGCCAGCTGGAGCGGTGGTTGGTGGAAAGCTCGCAGCCCAGTCGTCAAAACACCTCCAATGGAGTAAATCTGAAAAACATTGAGCGATATGATTGAAATAGTGAGGAACATTGCAATACTTACGCAAGCAATTCAGTCGGATGGTTTCTCCCTGTGTCAATGTTGTGTGGCAAAGCGAACAATTCGGGTCATAATCTTGATCTGTCAGCCAATTCAAGTAACTTTGTACAACACACTGAAAATTTTCATTTTTTTTAAATTCAGATTTTTATAGTGAAATAGCTTACATTCGGATGATTGTCCACCAGACAAAATTCGCAAACATTAACACGATGTTCGTAGCAAAACAAGTTGGTGACTTTGCGCTTGGGGCACTTGCAAAGCCCCATTTTCTGAAAAGAAGGATTTAATCAATGACATAGTTATTGCTATTCAACCGAGAACAAGCTGTCAAGTTTTAATTTCTAAAACGCCGGAAAACAAGCCGCAAATTCGTGGAAAAAAAGTTTGTCGGGCTGTCTCGCGCACCAAAATTCTATGCATTTTCCGCAACACACACTGCGTAGATTTTCGCACCGTAGTCTTTTCAAAAAATATCAATGCCAAACCATTGAACGTTTTTCGGGTCGAATGCCGATTTTCGCGATAGAGAAAAAAAAGAGAAGTAATGCACGCACAACAATAGAATCATGTAAACATCTTTTTCGGTCATTTGAGTGGGTTCTAACCTTGATTTTATTTAGTTTTTCAACAAAAACTTGACTGTTTCTATTATAAATAATTAAACACTTTAAATTATATTTTCCGTTTTCAGTTGAGAAATGCTCACTCGAAAAACATTTCATGCTTTCCGGAGCATTTCGGGTCCACCGAAGAAGTCCGTGTAAGTTGGCCATTGCTTACTGGAAAACGCTTAATTTTAAAAAATTTTTCCAGCGAGCTCCCGAAATACGACTTAGTCATCGTCGGTGGTGGAATCGTGGGATGTGCAACTGCCCGTCAACTTCTCATCGAAAAACCAAATCTGAAAATTGCTCTTGTCGAAAAAGAGAAAGAATTAGCTGTCCATCAAAGTGGACATAATTCCGGTGTGATTCACGCAGGAATCTACTACACTCCAGGGAGTCTGAAAGCAAAATTGTGCGTTGAAGGACTAGACTTGTCATATGAGTTTTTTGACAAGGAGAAAATACCATATAAGAAGACTGGAAAGTTGATTGTGGCTGTAGAACAAGAAGAGGTTCCAAGATTAGACGTAGGTGTTCTCAATAGTACTATATTCAAAAAATAATATTCTTCATGCTCTATTCGCTCGTGCCCAAACCAACGGATGTCGTGACATCGAGATGATCGACTCCAAGCGAATCACTGATATCGAGCCTCACTGTAAAGGTCTCAAAGCCTTATGGAGCCCTCACACTGGAATTGTCGATTGGGGATATGTCACCAAGAAGTTTGGAGAAGATTTTGAGAAGCGAGGAGGGAAGATTTACACGAGTTATCCATTGGAAAAAATTGAGGATAATTTGAAAGATTCGAATTACCCGATTCGGGTGTCAAGTGATCCATCTTATGCTGATTTTGAAACCAAAAATCTTATCACATGTGCCGGACTGCAATCCGATAGAGTTGCGGCTTTATCAGGCTGCTCCACAGATCCAAAAATCGTCCCGTTCCGTGGAGAGTATCTTTTGCTAAAACCAGAAAAAAGGCATCTTGTTAAAACGAACATATACCCAGTGCCAGATCCTCGATTCCCATTCCTTGGCGTGCATTTTACACCGAGAATGAACGGAGATATTTGGTTGGGACCAAATGCAGTGTTAGCTTATAAAAGAGAAGGATACTCGTATTTCAGTATCTCCCCCTCTGATTTATTGGAGTCATTGAGCTACAGGTAATAAGAAAAAAATCGTGAATTTTTGAAACTAAAATTTACAGTGGAATGCAAAAATTGGTCAAAAAACACTTCACATTTGGCATCAAAGAGCTGTATCGTGGAATATGGATTGCAGCTCAAGTGAAACAGTTACAGCGATTTATTCCAGAATTGAAATATAGTGATGTGACCAGGTAAATTTTCGATGAAGCACGATTTTTAAATGATTTCCTTTCAGAGGACCATCTGGAGTGCGTGCCCAGGCAATGGATAGTGCTGGAAACTTGGTGGACGACTTCGTTTTTGACAGCGGAACTGGAAAGCTGTCCTCTCTCATCATGCACGTTAGAAACGCACCATCTCCAGCAGCCACGTCATCTCTGGCTATTGCGAAAATGATCACTTCTGAAGCTATAACCAGATTCAAACTTTAGATGTTTATGTATTTTGAAATTGACATGTTTATTTTTAGTTGCCAATGTTTATGATTCTCTTTTTATGGTATTATATAAATATTCATATTTAAGCTTCAGGAAGAGACCCTGACTGGAGATCCAGACTTGGTTTTTGATCAATATTCCGCCTATCGCGAGCAAATCTTCTATAATTGAGAGCAATAATTGGCATATATTTTTTGGATCTAGAAGCTAGCCGCTGCTCAAAAATGATTTATTTTACAGAAAAAAAATAATGAAAAACACAAAAAATTGATTAAAAGTCATTCCCTTCCGATGTAGTCGTACTTGTTGGAATCGCGCTGGAGTTCCTCGTTTTGTCCCTTTTTGTTTCAGTCGATGACGAACCGATTTGGGAGCAGATGATGACGTTGATAGTTTTTTCGAAGAAACTGAAATAATTTTTATAGATTTCAAGTTCCCACTTCTCCTCGTTTTCTCACTATACCTCCGACACAAAATTTGGAACTTACCTGTAAAAATTGGTTTAGGAATTCGGACTTTCTGAAAGTTTTTTACCTTTTTAAAGTACAGTAGCAATGCTACCTCCAGAATAGACCAAAACTTCTATTTCTAGCTTCCGACATTTGTCTCCCGGCCATTTTTCCAATTTTTCTGCAAATAACAAGCGAAATACTTGCTGGTACAGTATTCCAGTATGTTCTTGTAGGTTAAATAATAATTTACGGACAAAAATTGCAACGAAATGCAAAAAACGATGAAAAATACCCAATATAGGTGAAAGAACTTCGAAAAAAGAAAAAACAAGAATTTTTTTGCGATTGTTCAATTGTGAACCTTTTATGGGGCCAGTTAGTAAGATACACATTTTGCTCGCGAATGGTCATTTGTAGAACCACTAGTTCGTGGCAGGTGAGTAATTGGGTTGTTTATAGCTCTTCATCTGTAATTGGTCAGTCACGAATCACCTGTGGGTGGTTCGAACCCCACTGTGGTAAATCTTTTTTTTTGGTTTTTTCAAGACGAATTTTCGATATCCATTTTGGTCCCCTGAATAACAAATTATACTTATTTCATGAATTCCCGACGTTTTCAAAGTGAAAAAGAAGGTGTTTGAAATTTTGAAGAAATGTTGAAATAGTGTTTTTTCGACTTGTCCTATTGCCCAAAAGCAAAACTTTCGACTCTCGGAATTGCTCCGTCTTGCTCTTTTTTGAGTGGAACACCACCAAATCTATCACCCAAATGAGCTTTACATATTCCTGTGTATTCTTTTTACCCAATTGTTATTACTTTTCGATAACTTTGTGTTGAAAACCTCTAAACAAGTCGGAAAATAAAACTTTTGTAAATCCTAAAATTTGCTGGAAAACGGACAAAAATGTATAAGTGTAAAAAAACATTTGCTAAACACGGTAGTTCGGCCAGAGTACCGATTTTTGCATATCAGCATAATAACTGGAATTCATTTGTTTTTGGTTTCGCATAGAACACTCTTGGTATTGAAACGATTTTATACAGTCAAAAATAACCAGATAAACCAGTATTTGGGCAAAAAAATCATATTCGGAACTGAATGGCAAACCCTGTATTGTTAATTAAGTCGATTCCGGCAAGTTCTCAAACACAGTAAGCTCCTCCAGACGGTGCACACCCAGAATCACAATGGCTGGGCGATCGTCCTAATTGGTGTACACGGACATTGGCCCAAGCCACACCAGCACCAGCTCGGCACTCTTGAATGTCAGCGACGGCACGCCAACAGTTGGTTGTTGGATCGTAGCATTCAACGGTGTTCAGGTATCTGAAAACTTTGTTTTGAAGTGAATATACCGTAAAACTTGTGATAGGAAAACCCCCGAACTATTAACTTAGAGTCAATTTATCTATATTCTTGTGAAAGATATGAATAAGTTGTCAACTGATAAATTTTTTATCATACCAGTCGATTTCCGCCGCCTTTCGGCAGCTACAATCTCCTGGCTTCACTAAAAACGTTTGAATCTCCAAATCGGAGAGAATCAGAAGAGGAAGTTTTAGTTGATTGTGTTGTCAACTTTCATAAACTGGAGTGACAGTCTGCTTCTGTGCCTTCGGGGCTAAACCTTCTGGCTCCCGCTTACAACAGCCTTAACCGATTGAGTTTGGGCTTGGACAGATATATCAGAAATGTAGATCAGAAATGTGTCTTAGTTGATACACGAACTGTTCAACATTTCCAAATTTTTAGAACTAATAATTTTCCTGAATTCCCGAATATCTTGAAATTTAACAACCTATAATTTTTTCAGAAGTTTCGAAATTCAGGAGTCCTGAATTTTCGGAACTGCGATTCTAGAACTCAAACATTTTTCTATTAAAATACTTCATTTCAGAACTCATAATTTCTGAAATTTCGTATTTTTGAGTTTCCGTATTTCCGACTTTCTGAGATTCTACTTCACAAATTCCCAAAATTAAACATTTTAACACGAATCAGATTTTCAGAATTTACTCTAAAACACATTTCTGGGTTTTTGATTCACAAAGTTTATGAATTTCCGAATTTTCTAAATTCCGAACTTGGGCTTTCTGATATTCTGAACTTCTGAGTTTCTGGTTTTTCTGGTTTTTTGCTTTCGAGATTTTTTATTTTCAAAATTTTTTTTAAAAAACTTTCAAAATTTTTAATTTCGTAATATTCCGAATATCTGAATTTTTATACTTCTGGATTTCCGAAACATTGGACATTTGAATTCTCTGATTTTCAAACTTCAAAATTTCCGAATTTTCAAATCTCGGATTTTCGAGTTCCCGTTTTTTCAATTTTCCGAATTCCTGAATTAGAATTTTAGAATTTCAGAGTGAAACCAAAATGTTTGAAGCATAGGAATGGTTAGAAATTTCGCATTTTCGAAAAAAATAATCAAATTTCGTGAATCAGAATCTCCGAAATTCAGTTTTTGAGAAGTTAGGGGATTCAGAAAGTCAGAATTTTAAAGTTTACTGAACTTTTTCTTTCTCTCTTCTTTCAAAGCTAAGACTAAATAATTATTTTCACAAAATCACCTTTTTATCAGATATAGTGTGAATAAGAAAAAAAATAGAGGGGTTGGACGGAAGTGACGTGAAAATAATTTTCTAAAGACTGTAGGAATGGTGTAACGTCTCCAGATGACGTCAGAAACAAAATTTCAAAATGAAAAATAGACGGGCAACATCTCGCTGCTATTTCTGATCATCTGTGAAAATTTGAGAATTTTTGGTCTACTGGGGACTTCGCTAGGGTCGTGGAACCGGGAACAAACGGACACACAGACAGAATTTGGTGATTGTTAATACTATAATGCTATATTAACTTAATAGTAAAGATTATCAAAAACATTTTGTCAGATAACACATTTCTGATATCTCTAATTGTAAGAGGAGCCCAGATAAATAAGCTCGCAGTTAACAGTGTGGGGGCTTCTATTACAGGTTTTACTGTATCAAAATTCTTCCCAAAATGTTCTCAATGATCATTTATTATTCTAGATACCGTAAAACCAACCTACCGTACTCTAATAAAAGCCCAGCCGACCCGTCACCTTTTAGCTTAATTATCTCGGTTCCTTCAGGAGAAGTCAAAAAACTTTTAACTGACAAATTGTTTATCATGATTCTACCAATTTTAATCAGTTGTTACATTTTTGATATCTTATAGGAGCCGAGATAATGGAGCTCAAAGTTGAAAGTGCGGGGGCCCTTCTATTACAGGTCTTACAGTATCCAAATTAAATACATCTTTGATTACCTGGAGCCATCATGCCCTCCAATTGCATACACCTTCCCTCCCAGTGCAGCTACACCAACTCCTCCTCTTGGACTTGACATATTCGCTAGAGCCTGCCACTTATCAATATCCGCATCATATCTTTCACAAGTTGCTAGCGGAGCATTGTCGTCAAATCCACCAATTGCGTACAAGTAACCATCTAGCACGCATACTCCAGATCCAGCTCTTCGACATTGCATTTTGGCAATCGACTTCCATTTATCAACTAATGGGTCGTATTTCTCACAGGTGTCTAATGAAGATGTTCCATCATTTCCTCCTATCGCAAACAAGTGTTTGTCGAGAACAGCCACGCCGACTCCTCCTCTTTGTGATTCCATATCTGCTACTTCACTCCATTCATCTGAATCAATATCATATCGTTCTACTGTCCTGTAGCATGTTCGATCATCTAGTCCTCCAACTGCGAAAATTGCCGAACCAATCGAAGCAACTGCTATCCCTCTTCTGGCAGTTTTCATAGAAGCTATTCTCTTCCATTGATTTGTGGAAGGCCGGAATGCTTCTGCTGTTGCCAGATGAGATTCTCCGTCGTGACCTCCGATTGCATACAGATTGCCTTGGGCGCTCACCACTCCAACATGTCGCCTTTTTGACATCATATCAGGCACTGCGAACCATTGATTCTTCCTCCAATCGTAGGCTTCCACACTACTAAAAGGGCCACCAGCTGTACCACGGCCTCCAGCACAGAAAATTATTCCAGCCACTGACTTTCGAATTTTAGATGGAGCAGGGCTGAGAGAGTTCAGCACAGGGAACGTTGTGGTCAATGACAGAATAGAATCCGACAAAGTTGACGCTGAATATTCTTGGGTGGTCTCATAATTATGGTCTTTTTGGGGAGCTTGTTTTCTGGATGTTTGAGACTGCATTGCATCAAACAAAGCGGTCGAAATGATATCCCTGCACTCCCGATTCTCCTTTATATACCAATGGGGTTTTATGACATCACATAAATAATTCCACTCAACCAAATGAAGTCTCATTGTTTCGAATAATTCAGGAAGGTATTGTAATCGATCCGCTGGGTCCGCCTCTATCCAGTGGGTGATGGACTCAAAAACGCATTCTTCTTCGCGAATGTTTAGATCTGATCGATTCAGAAGACGTTTCAAATGAAGAAAAGACATTGACTTGAAACCAGTACTCCGACGAATGCATTCAAATTGGTCTGCGGCAAAATCATCAGTGGAGGAGATCAGCGTGGTACAATTGTAAGTTTCAGCAAAATTATGAAGGGCGAGGCAGTTATTAGAAGTGATCTTTGTTGTGAGATATTCCTGACAGGCTCCAATAATGACGTCCATCTAAGAATTAAGTTAAATTTGAAAAAGTTCGAAAAATTTTTAATTTTGAAGAAGGACTCCAACCGAGAATTTTTATTGCACCAATGTCTTTGTGTGATTTTTGTTACGTTCGAACTTTTTCAAAAAAGAATTTTTTCGATCGGTGCCGAGAATCACACACTCCGGTTTCAGCTGAGGAATAGAGTGGCCCAACTGTCTCAAAATGATTTTTCGATTTTTCTAGGCCACCCTAACTGATGGTGCAGAAATTGTCTAACATGCACCTGGTGTGTTTTCGAGGTCATTTCTCGTTGTGGGCCTAGCTTTTGCAAGTCTAGTTTTCTAGGCCATTAACTTTTATAGCCTAACGATGACCTGGTATTTCCCTTGTGGATTTTCTAGGCCATTGTAGCAAGGTGGCCTAACTTTTGCAAGTTGAGTTTTCTGGGTCATCATGGTTTAATGACCTGATATTTTAGTAATCACCTGATATTTACATGGTGTGTTTTCTAGACCATTTTAATATGGTGGTCTAGAAAACTCAACATGTGAAAGTTAGGCTACCATAAATATCCGGAAAATCGACATTCAAGAAAAAGCGTCCTGATGCTGTGGCATAGGTTTCTCAAAGCGCGGGAACTCAAATCCTCGTCCCTATTTGCCATTTTTTTGTTTTCAACTGAGTTTTTCTGGAATTAGAAAAATAGATCTTTTCGAGCATTTTCATGCAATAACAATTGTTGGTCGGAGTCCCCCTTTCAGAAATGTTGAGAAAATAGAGTTTTTGATTCATACCATAATTATTCTTATAGAAACCCGCCTTGTCAACATTTTTCTTGATTCCAATGCAAGATATCAAAAATGTGTTATCTGATAAATTGTTTTTTATATTATGATAAATAATTTTTCAATTGACAAATTTCCGATATCTTTCACAGAAATCGAGATAATTGAGCTCAAAGTTGATCGATTGGGTGAGTTTTATAAGATGAAATACAGTTAATGCCATATGACAAACTTTTAATACTCACCTGAAAAATTGTAGCCGTAAATATGAGTTGATGAACATTGGTAATAGTTATCGCAATCTTATCAGTGTAGATGTAGTTTATCAATGTTTCCATAGATTCTCTGGGTATATCCTGAAAATCTTTAAAATTGTATTGCTCTTTCAAAATCATTCCCTCACTTGTAACTCTATCGTAACTTTTTTCATTTCCACCATCCTATTAGAAAACATTGCTTTGAAATAGGGACTTGCTGCTGCCAATATATATCGATGAGCACGAATTACAGATCCTTCTACAATAAATTCCACATCACACAGCTCCTCATCTTCTCGAAGGATTTGCATTTGTCTCATGATTTCAGCCGGCTGCTTCTGATTCTCATACTCCACTCGACTGCCTCCACTGTTTGAGACCACTAGAAATTTATCCATTTGGCATTATTAGAAATTGACTCAAGAATGAAACTAACGTTCAAATTCATCAAATGGCACAACTTTAACTCGCTTTACCGTAAGATCCGGGTGCTCTTCTATATCGGTTATGAATTTCTCACCATGGTCTACTCGAACTTGCTGGACTGTCGGGAATGAGCCTGAAAATGCAAAACTAATTACTAAGTTACCGTGAAACCTCTAATAGAAGGGCCCCAAAAAATTTAGTTTGAACCAATTCATTTAGTTTGAAAAAAATTTCAGTTTAAACCAACTTATCCTGGTTCCTGTCAAAGTTATAAAAAGTGTTCAACTAATAAATTGTTTATTATAAAATCACACAAATTTTATCAGTTGACACATTTTTGATATCTTGCATGGGAGCCAAGAAAAATTAGTTCAAACTCGACCGTGTGGGGCCCTTCTATTACAGATTTTACGTTATTTGGAGATTACCGTATTCCCTCTAATAGAAACCCACCGAGACCGTTACCTTTGAGCTCAATTATTATATCTCAAATCCAAATTGGAACTATTCGTTAAAACTCACCAAAAATAGCTCTAGCGTAGACTGGCATATGATAGGTTGTGTTATACGAGGTGGATATTTGATTCGGCTGAAAAAATGAAACATGAACTTTTTTCAAACAAAAAAAGAAAGATTTAAATTTCAGTAAACATATACACACACATATGAAAAAAGTATGTTCTGATAAGAAAACGAAGAAAAAACAAAGAACTGATGGTTGGGCAGAAATTGGACATTGCTCCCTAAAATCGCGTGAGATAGATGCATGAAGCAAAGAGTTTTAGATTTTACAAGATGTTGTTTGAAAGGGTTTCATATAGACTCTCAATAATTTGGAAAGAGAGAGAGAGAGAGAGAGAGAGAGAGAGAGAGGGGGAGAGAGAAATATTGTGTGGGTGGGAGAGAAAAATATAAGGGTAAGGTACAATTGAGGCTTCATATATTTTGGGGCTCCGATCAGAAAAGTTTATGTATTTTTTTGCATTGAAATCTTTCCAAAGTTGTGTATTTTTGTAAAATTCTTTTGGAAAAATGTTTTAAAAAAATCCTGAATCACCGAAAGACGCCATTAAGAAAAAGAGGAGGGAGAAATCTAGGCCAACAATTTTCCAGTTTTTTTTGATGGCCTAACTTTTACAAGTTAAGTTTTCTGAATATCAGGCTATACTAAGCCATTTACCATGATGACCTAGATTCAACAGGCCACCACATTAGAATATTCAACAGGCCACCACATTAGAATGGCCTAGAAAAGACAATTTCTGGACTGTCAAAATACCAGGCCATTTCTAGGCCATAAAAGTTGGCCGCCTAGAAAACTCAACTCATAAAGGTAAGGCTACCATGCGAAATGGCCTAGAAAACACACCAGGTGCATGTTAGTTTTTTCTGGACCATCAAGTACGATGGCCTAGGAAAATCATGTTGAGAAGGTAAAACAATATAAATAAGGTATATATAATTCAAGGATTGGTCATTTTTCAGTTAACCCAGTTCTTCTTTCACTGGAATATAAATAAATCAGTAGCTGTATAGTCTGATTGATCACATATCCTAAAACTTTGAAAAGCAAAACTGAACATAAATGTCCTCAAATCCCAACTCTGCTAATCGCGAAATGCCACTGAAAAGCCGTCTAGTTGTTCTTTCCCAACCTTGAATCGCATTGTTGTGAAACGTCTTTTTTGTCCTCTTCACAGGCATCATCATCATCATGACCCCCCTTGAAAATGAATCGAACAAGGTTAACAATGGAAGAATGATGGAGAGAAAAAAGGAGGAAAGAATTATTATGAACACAGGGGAAAAAGAAAAAAAAGAATTGGCATGAAGATAGTACTTTTGTTTGAAAAAAGTGTACGTTGAGGTATGTGTAATGGTAGGTCGAAAAGAAGAAAAGAAAATTATAGAGAAAGAGAGATTTAGATGGTCAGATAAGAAACATATGGAGAAAATCTATTCTAAAAAGGAATACCGTAAAACCTGTATTAGAAGGGCCGGCTCTTCTATCGCTTCAAGGTACCTTCGGAGGGCTCTTCTTTTACAGGCGCCCTTCTATTTTTCAAGCCTCTCTTGGAAAACCGTTCTATTTGAGGGGCTTTTCTATTAAAGGGGCCCTTCTGATACAGGTTTTACGGTATGTGCTACTTTTCCAAAACATTGAGAAGATCCAGAATGTGCTGGAATATAGTATACCTTAGAAAACACAACTTTGGTGAGAGATTCGAAAAAAGAAGAGATTTAGACAGCTGAAGAAGACTCTGAAGATTTCAAAGTGAAAACAAAAAGAAGAGGAAAGTGAAGCCCATACATATACATCACAAGAATACATTATTCCAGAAAAAACTCGTTTCGAAAACCAAAAGAAGTATTCGAGTAGTAGAGTGGTGGGGTTAGAGTGGTTGGATGGAAAAAAATTCCGATGGAAAGAGAGTGAAGTGGAATGGGTTCGAAATTCCTCTCGGTTTTTGGAAATGTCATGGGAGTTATGGAAAATGAATCTTGAGAATAAATTTTTGCTTTGACTCAAGAAGAAGCTTAAACCTCAAAGTTCTAATGTATTCAGTAAACCCTATAATAGAAGAGCTCTTAATTTTTAACTTTGCGCCATTTTTTCTCTGTTCCTGTGAGTGATATAAAATATTGTCAACTAATAAACTGTTTATCATAAATTCAGAAATATTTTGTCAATTAACACATTTTGGATATCTTCACAGAAACCGAGATAAATTAGCTCAAACTTAACATTGGGGAAGCCCTTCTATTACAGGTTTTAGGGTACTTGGACCCGAACGGCAGACTGCTTCTCCCGATAGCCTTGAGCAATACGGAAAAAGGAGAAGAAAGGAGTAAAAAATAAAAAGAAAACAGAGAAAATTATATATCCAAGCGCTAACTAACTAGTAAGAAACACAAAAAATGAGTAAGAAAACACAGAGAAAAACATGAGAGGAATAGGAAGTGGGTCCATATATAGAGCCCTCGAAAAGAAAATATCAAGATTTTCTCGGATACACAGACATAGGCACAGAAAAGAAAAAGAGGCGGCTCACGAATATTTTTAGGAGGGGTGAAAAAAGAGAAAGCAAAAAAAGGATAGATGGTGTTTAAAGAAATGGGACAGAGAGTAAAAAGGGTTCTCATTCCAATTCTGGGAAGAAGAGAAGAGGGAGGGATTAAGTGAGGTGCTCTTCTGGAACGGAGAAGAAGAGAATGATGGATGAGAGTTGACATTTTGGGAGTGAAAGAAATTCTAGAAGTCTTTGAAAATTCTTCCGAAAGAGTAATGTTCAAGCTGAATCTTCGGTAAACGTGAAGTATATTATTTTGAGTCTGGCAAACTAGCAGGATGTTTCTGCAAAAATTTCCAAATATTTAAAAAATTGAATTTATAAGACTATGAAACTGTAAAACCTGTAATAGAATGTCCCTCTAACTTTCAAGTTTTAGCCAATTTATCTCAATCCCAGTAAAAGATATTAAAAAGTTATCAACTGATAAATATTTATCATAACAACATGAGTGTTTTGTCAGTTGAAAAATTTTTGATAACTTTCATAAGAGCTAAGAAAAAATGGCTCAAAATGTGGACCCTTTCTAATATATGTTTCAAAAAAAACAAAAGTTAGCTGCATATTTGTAAAATTCCGGGCCGGCCCGCCAAAGCCCGGGCCCGGGCCGGGCCGGGCCTGAGGAAATTTTCAAGGCCCGGTGGCAAAAATTCTGAATTTTTGAGCCAAATTTTGAGCTCTCAATATAATTTATTCCATTTTTTTTCGTATTTCGGATTGTTTGTCTGTCTGATCAAAAAAGACCGAAAAACTCGAAAAAAAATTTTTTGGTCGAAAAAAATCACATAAGGGTCCCCCCTTATGTGTTTTTTGAAAATTTCGAAACTAGTGAAATGACGGGCCCGCCGGGC